TATATAACAGTGGCACCAGTTGTGTCCTTGATGAAGGGCGGAGCACTAACAGAGGCGATCGAGGATAGATCAGGGTGTCAGAGTGAATGGGCAGTTCAAAACATAGGAGTTGAAGGTGTTAATTCAAAGAAAATTTGTAGAATTATTTTCATTCGTGTGGCATTTTGGAAGTGTAGTTCAACGATGTAGGTTGTTAGAGAATTCCAAGCGGAAACACCTGGTTTCGAGCAAATTGAGATGATTCCGGGAGTCTATATGAATTAAGGATTTCAAGACAAGTAACTATTTCCTACGAACATGAATGTCTCTACGGCGAGGTGCGTATCTCCATTCAAACATCGTAAAAGTCATTCAAGAAAACAAGGAAACATGTGCCCTCTATAGAAGCCTGCCCTATAGCTGATTTTAGAAGATCAAAAGGAAACATATGCCCTCTATAGAAGCCTGCCCTATAACTGATTTTAGACGATCAAAAAGCGCTTGTTCTTGATTTTAGGCACACAGTTTGCGAAGTACAGATTAGTGCTATATCTGAAGTGCAGGCACATCGTTCACTAGGCTAGGAATTAATCGAATTCGCTTTCCTCAGTTTAAAAGACCGCTGTCGTTCAATACTGGCGCATAATTATATTCGTCCAATTTCGAAAGAAACTGGAATCAAAATGATCAGTAAAACATGAGGAATGCAACGATCTGCTCTTTGCTTAGTTTCAGAATATGATAGTTTTGCGATACTCCTTCAGTAGCCAATGGACCGTACTACACGTGCAACTGTTTATTACGACGTTTAAGGTAACCGACAATAATATACAAATCTGCAAGCTCATATACATATAGATGTGGGCGGTGCCCAGATACCGTATTGTTCTTTACTGGATAAGTACGATTAAGAAATGGGATAAAAGGGCGCACAGCGTCAACAGCAATGCTTAGGTTACCTACTTGATAGCACACTTATGATACCGATAGGTCATGCCTACAGTATCGTCTCAAGAAGTATAATACTTATAATAAGCATTACTCAAGGTGATTAAGTGGAGTAGCCCACAACAGAGGGGCTGGGGCGGAATTAGCGGTAGCTATAATTTGTACAACAACAGTAAAGCTTACATACAATTTATTGTGCAATGCACTTACAATATTATACAAGCGAATATCAATCCAACGACGTGACAACAATGTTTAATACTACAATACAATTGTCATTATTTATGGATACAATGACACTTCTTGCAAATGCCTTTAGTTTTGTAAACTTCTTTGACGTGGTTGACGTCCATGCGTGCATTGGTTCGATTCTGTGAATACCGATGGATTAGACGTCTCCACATTCGATCGGCGTTCACTGAAGTTCCTGTCTGCTCAAAGTGCATGACTCTCGAAGAGATAGCCGCGAGGATTTCGCGGCAGCTTCTTGGGTTTCCCTGAACCCGCGGAAGACGTTTAATTTCGTTTTTAAGGGTATCTGCGATGCTTGCAGATAGCAGATATCCTTAAAATGTTGTAATGTTTTTTGAGAATGTCGATGGCAGTAACGTGTTTTTCTCCCATTACCGGGATACTGCGAACTGAAGCAGCTGCTTTTTCTTTGAGTGCCTGTTTCAAGAAAAGGAATTTTTCCTGGTCGCTCGAGTCGTCATGGCGGTGAATGAGCCACTTGAAAACTGACCAAAAGGTGCTGAATTCTCTATAACTTCAGAAAGTAGTGACTCCAAGTAGCGGGCGTCGGCGTCGTACCCGAATGTTCCGCTCTTGTGGCGTTGTTGAACCTGTAGACCTTTCTTGACAGCTGGTGTTACTTACAGTATGGTTGTTGCTTTCTTGTTACGAAGCTAGCAGTGCACTTTGTTGCACTAACTCGCCTTTTCTGAACTCGATCTTATTCAACCATTGCATGACACCAGCTTCCAGCACGTTCGACTCAAGATCCACGTGCTTCATCAAGTCGCGCTCTTTTTGCTCTGCTCTTCCAGTGATATTCTCTATGGCTTTTTGGCGCATGTGTTGTGGAACTGTTTTACTGAGTTGATTGTTTTTTTTTCAAATAATTCAGCAGAGGAGTTCTTTCATTGATTTGCTATTTGCATCCCTCCATTTGATTGGGGAACGCAAATGCTTGGCTCAAGTTATTGACTTGTGGTCCATTAGACTTGATTAGCACGCAAGCGTGAGTGAGCTTGTTTTGAATACTTGAATTTTAGCCATTGTTAGATGTTTTATGGCCGATTCCTGGGCGTCAACAGTGATTTTAAAGCGTTACAATGGCTTATAAAAGTTTTCGTTGGTTCTGCAATAGAGTTGCTCCTGCCACGTGGTTCTTTGTTCTTCGTTTTCGTGTTCCTCAGGTAAGATTCGCACAAAAAACTGGCTCCCTTCTGCTTCTCACTGTGGACAAGTTGTTTAGAAATTTGCTGTTGGATTCCACTTCCTTAGGAGGGTTAGTTGGGAAACTGTGTGGTTCTTCTCATTGGATAGGAAAGAACAATTTAAATCTTCTGTTTCTCAAGGGAGAGCTAGCTCAGACGATTTCCTCGGACTTCCTTGTTCTTCAAGGAGGAGTTTCAGGAAAGATCCGATTTGTTTGATTCCAGCTGGTGGAATACAAACTTTCTTCTACTTCTCAGGGAGAGTAGGATTGTTTTTGTCTTGATTCCGTTTCCTCAGAGAGGAGTAGTGGTGGAATTAGGCTTGGTAAATTCGCCTTCTGCTTCTCACTGTGAAGAAGATGTACAGAAGTTTGTTGGGTTCTCATTTCCTCAGAAAAGTTAGTTGAGAACTTTGATAATTCTTCCCAATGGGTTGGAAAGGACTAGTTCAATCGTCTGTTCCTCCAAAAGAGAGCTAGCACAGCCGATTTTCTCAGAGTTCCTTATTCCTCAGGGAGGAATAGTTGGAGAGTCCGAACAGTTTGGTCCAGCTGGTGAAAAAAAAACTTTGGATCTACTTCTTAAGGAGAGTAGAGTGGTAACTGTTAGCGTTGATTCCGTTTTCTCAGGAAGGAGATGTGAAGGAATCTGGCTATGGTTTTGTTTCCAGCAAGTGGAAAACAAGTGATTGCCTTTTTTCCGTGTTCCTCAGGGAGGAGTTTTCGGAGTTAGGCTGATGATTCACCTTCTGTTTCTCACTGTGGAGAACTAGCGCAGAAGGTCGTCAACGGACGATGCACCCATTTGGTAGGCCAATGGACTTGTACCGTACACGTGTAATTTGTTTATTACGATGAGCAAGGTAATCGACAATAATATACAAATCTGCAGGCTTATATACATAAAAATGTGGGCGGTGCCCAGCTACCGCACGGTTATTGACTGTATAAGTACGACTAAGATATGGGATAAAAGGGCAAACCGCGCCAACAGCAATGCTTAGCTTACCTACTTGATAGCACAATTATGATATCTTTGGTATCGTCTCAAGAGGTACTTATAATAAGCATTCCCTAGAATGATTAAGTGGACTAGTTGTGAGCCCACAACAATTCCAGAACTCACTGAATACCTTCAAAAAGAGAGTGCTATCTGAATAAAATTATAGCGAGCATCGTGCTAACGAAGTCCCCTCAGGAACTTTAATGGAGCGGAGACTTCAAGATTAAACTTTTTCAAACTTTCAATGCACCACTTTTTAGAGCTCGAAGAGCTGAGTTGAATTATGTAACATTGCATATATAAAAAAATTGAGCACTAACCTAGTTATAAATAAAAGACAAAGGAATTTCCGGACTTTTCGAATAATTAGGGTGGGTTTTGCAAAGGTTGCACCATTCGCACCGGGAACCACACTTTGCACGCAGGCAGCTCACTACAGCCATATGTGAGCAATGGCACACACATTTTAGATAGCTTATCCAGATACCTCTCCCATGCAACGTTCGTCGTCACATTCTTGTCCAACTCCTGATTTTACTACCTTTTTGAAACCTTATAATTCTCTCATTATGCTGATGTTCGCGTTTTCTTCAACACTTTTGCTTTATTCGATACTACCACTTAAATTAGTCGTCTAGAACTAGACACCCCAAAATTATTGCGAACTGTGTCAAGGTTCAGGGGAGAGAGAGAGAGATTCCAAAGGATCAAGGGAGCTACACAACTTAAGCCGCACAGAATTTTCAAAGACAAGAAGCAACAGAGGCAGGTAAGATCGAAACAATGATCTAGCAGTCCATAATTCACGCAAAATGGAACGAGGACAGATCAGGTGCGAAAAGGCAAATATTATAGAGCATGATGTACAATTAACATACCGAATGATATACACGTGGTTTGATAGGTAGATAGAGGCATAAATTTCCATACTGTAGAGGAACCCTTTTCGTAGTAATGAACGGAATTGTTGGTACAGAATAGAGGCGAAAAAAGCAAGGAATTCCACAGGATTTGCGAAATATAGGGCTCCTCGAAACCAGTCCAGCTTGGAAGTTGTAATAGATCATGACGAAGAAAGCTGCTGAACGAGGGTTAAGTCGCGGGTAATTGCGTATACACATACTTACTCTCAAAAGTTTATTTTCACTATCGATCAGCTATTTGAAATTTCAACATATGTGATCCATTGAGAATAATAGTTAATGCACAAAGTCCAGGCTATCCACGAGGTCGTTAGAAATACGGCTATTGAGCACTTGAACAGGATTCAGAACATTCACAGAGATAAGGACGGTTAAGGGATAAGTGAACAAAAGTTAGTGAACGAAAAACAAAAGCAAATCAACGATAAAGAACTGAAAACCTTCACTACGCATAACGATCACAACCATGTTGACTTGGCATAGTCCCAACAATTAAATTTGAAGACTTTCCGGGCGCGGGAATTCGAAGTATTCTTGCTGATTATTACAGTCCTTTCCTCCCTTCTCACCCTACTGACGGACACAGAAGTAGGGTAATTCATGGTTCAGCTAAGATCTAGCGCGAATGCTAAACAGTCGTCTAACCATTGCTTCAGTGGATCAGCCCTTTTTTTCAATGTGTTTACTCTACTATTTTTACCCCTAATCGCTATCTTAATCCCCTACACTTTCAGAGTGTCGCTGTTTTAGCAGTGTTCTGATCTGCAGTTTTGATAGATAAAGTACTCAAGATTGTTCTTCATCGAAAGAATTCTTCATTACTTCTACAGTCGTGGCTGATTCCCTGTACCCTAAATGAGCTTAAAAAATACACAGACTTCGATGCCTTACTGTGTTTATGGTTATGGTTATGTCTTCTACCTTAGCGAGAAGGGAGATGAAACTTCGGTGGAATTCCCGGTTCGTTTAGTAAACCAGTTGGCCCGAAAGAGTAGTTCAACACACCCCACTCACCCAGCCTGTGTCCCAACCTGAGTCATTTCTCGATGCATCCGTATAGTGTCGGGTTGAAGACCTGTGCATTCGAACAAAGTTAGCCGTGGGTGGAAATATGTTGCCCGTGAAATTCGACATCCGCCACATTTTGTTTCAACGTGAGCTCACTGTAAGAACTCGCTTCCCATACTGTGTTTTCGTCCCTATACAGCGGAAAATCCCATTATCTCGTAACCCTGTAACTGTTATCGTTCTCCTTTTTGAATGGTTGCTCTGATAATAATTCTGGGAAGAGGAACTTCTGTTTTTCACACCCTCTTACTAGTAAGGTCGATGTTGGTCGCAGGCTTTATTCCACAGTTTTTGTTAAATGTTTATCGACATATGGTTGCGCATGGAGTGAAATTAAAGTCGAAAGAACAAGATGTGTTGGAAAGACTTCATTATACATACATTGTTCTTCTGCTATTCGCAGTCCGCTGCAGGCAGTTGGCAGCCTTTCTCTCCTCTCTTGAAGCCGCTCTTGCACTGACAGACACTCTCCAAACATTTGTCTGTGCACTTGGAGGACATCACGTTGCAGGTCGGTTCGCATTCCGTTCCACAGCTCATGAACTCTTCGTTCTTGCCACACTTTCTATCTGAAAGAACACTGACGAAGGTTGGACTTGAGAGACATATGAAAATTATTTGTTTTGAAGAGTAATTAGGAATCCGTACCCCAACAACTTTTATTCTTAAAATTATGAGTCGTTTCTGATAGGAAAATACCAATGAAACGCCCTAAAACAACATTTTCAGTTTACTAAGACCTGGTGGGTAGTCGGTGAGGAAAAAACCTAGACAGGCTCTTCATTCGGCTCAGGCCATGGATTGCTTTTGGTTTGAGAATAGGTTGATTACTCATTGAGGGTGGTATGTAAACTTTAGCTGACTAACGTTTCGGCAGGATTGTCTCGTTCAGAGCCTAGCAGTTTCAAAATTAAGATCTTGTACATTCTTATGTACGAAAGATAGGAATCTGTGAGGGCACGCACTTCACTTAAAGAAAGATCCCACACCGTAGTTTCCTGAAAACGTTTTTAGGCAGCTGATTTCTAACAGGGAAGTCTCAAGTGTTTTGACAAGGCTCACTTGTAGTTCCTATGCCAAGATGTTCACTGTGACTCTGATATGATATGTCCGTGCTTTTATCCTCCCAGACGAGTTTGTTATCGAATAATCGACCCCTGATTGGTGAGGGGAGGAGACCTGGTTGGCCTAGGCGAATATCGAGCCGGGACACGAAACCTGGACCATGTATGAGTGATAGTGCGCCACTTGCCACTATTGCTCCTCCACTCTTTTACTATGGATGATTTTCATACAAAAAAAATTGCTGTTTCGCCGATCAATGAAGTCCACATAAAACCTCGTGCAGGGTTCAGTTTGACCACATCAAATTCACTGATGCTATCAAGTGACAGCATGAGTCCGCTCGGAAAACCACACTCAGAGTAAGCTATTTCCCTAATTCCATTACTCACTTCCTATAACTCTTTAAAAAATCGGTCTTCATTCTGTTCCCTTGAGGAGATATTTCTGAGTTTGATTCGATATCCTAGATATGTCTTAAACTATGACATGACCGACTAGTGTGAAATTCCTTTGGAACCTCGATGCAGGGACTTGAACTCGCTGGGTTTGATAGAAAAATTCCTAGTGAGGTATTCGTATGAAAATCACTTAATCGCAGATCTCAAACTTTTGCACACTATTCAGAAGCCTCTAAAAGTATTGCTGTTTCGCATTGATACTCATCTAGGCCAACCAAGCCTTCCACCCCTCACTGGACGGTTAATTGGTGCCAGACTCGTATGGGAGGATAAATGTAGTGAATTTCACGTCGGCTGGCCCTCCACGAGTCATTGTGTAGGCTACACTCGCATTCAAAACGCCACTGGATTCTGAGTGGAAATTAATCCGGGGCGCATCGCTGGTTAAATCCCAAGTCTTTACTGACTTTGATAAACTTGATAGGTGTTAAATAGAGAGTAGTGTGCTCTATATGTTCTACTGAACGAATGAACACTTCTAGCCCGATTTATTTGCTATAATCACAGCAGGATGAGGAGGCCGTCTTTCGCTACCCAGATTACCTTTCATAAAAGCCCCTACTTTCGCTGCCCAGATTACCATTCGTAAAAGCTGTGGATGACCACTAAATTCAAGCGAAAATAATGGTGGTCGAAATAACATAACAGCAATCTCAGCTGTAGTTTAGTAGAGATTTACTGTTTAGCAAGTCCCTGAGGTTGTCTTCAATANCACAGCAGGATGAGGAGGCCGTCTTTCGCTACCCAGATTACCTTTCATAAAAGCCCCTACTTTCGCTGCCCAGATTACCATTCGTAAAAGCTGTGGATGACCACTGAATTCGAGCGAAAATAATGGTGGTCGAAATTACATAACAGCAGTGTCTGCTGTAGTTTAGTAGAGATTTACTGTTTAGCAAGTCCCTGAGGTTGTCTTCAATATTGAGCTTTTATGAGCAAAACCCTTTGGGTATTGACAGCATACCTTCACAGCATACTGGCACTGCAACGGCAATAAGTAGAGCAACGACTTTGTAAAGATACATTCGACTAAACAAGTAGTATGTATGTTCGCTAGAAAAAACTGAACGTTCAGCATCATTCTCTCGCAATAAGGCTTACAGCTGGGAAAAAAACAAGCTCGATTGGGAAGATAGACATAATAAAACTCAAAAAAGTACAAAAGACGATGTTGTTAGTATGAATATCAAGTAGACAAATTCAGAAGCGTGATGACTTGGTACGAGAGTAAATGGAAAAAGGTGGTCAGAAGATTATTATAGCCATCAAAGGAGGAAGACGTTATTTAACAACGGTAAAATGAGTCCTTCAATTCCACGGGATGTACAAAAAGAGAAGCTCGAGAAGAGCAAGGAAATACGGACTTTTCGTCGGAGATTACCAAAATACTTTACTTATATTACTTATATTACCAAAAGGTTTTCAGCTTTCTCAATTTTTTCAGTTCTCATAAAAAATTCGTTGAAATCTCTCTACTCATTCCTCTTTTAGGGATAGGTAGTAACAGAGTTTCAGAGAATGACTAGCAATTCGCCCACGAATCACTTTGAACGAGCAAAACAAGAATACTAGTTCATTTTAAGATTTTTTCTGTTTTCTCAATTCTTTTAGGGCTGTTCTGTCCCGGAGTCTCCCATTTTCAAGATGTTTGTATTCATTCCAGAAATTTTGGGTAAATCAAAACAAAAGAAAGTATAGCATATTGTTTCAACACACAAGTGATATTTAGCCGTACGGTCATGAAATTGAAGGGAGAATAAACCCAAAATGCTGTTTGAAATCTCATAGGTCAGCAACAAGTGATTGATGAATGTGAGATACACCAAAGACCGCTTCTTTCCAAAACATTGCCTTCTAGAGCCTTTATTCTTGTGGATACAGCCTTTATTTTTGGAGCTTACAAGAAAAGGAGAATACTTGTAATTTAGTTGCTCATAGAGAAATTATAGTTACTGAGAGCATTCGGAAGGCCTCGGTGGGTTCCACCTCGAACGCTGTATCTTTGGCTTCCACAAAAGGAAATAGAAGTTTATGGTTATATAAGGTAAAATCGAACAAGCTATTAAAGCTATGATGAAATGAAAAATATCAAAAACAATCGACCGAAGAGAAAGCTAGGATATCGGAAAGTAGGACGTAACTATACATTAAAAAACTACTGTGATGTAACTGAAACTGCGATCCAAATAAAAAAAAAGAAGAATACGATTGCAGACCACACTGAGTTAATAAAAAAACACTGACGATTTTGCATAGCTAATGGTGTTGTTTCGCTGTTCAATCGATCACCGATGCCTACCGGATTATCTATGCTGGCATGTGGTGAAAGTAGGTATAATAGACTATATCCGAGCCAGGTGAAATAAAAAGTCTATAGAATAAAGCCTTGGGGCATTAACCAATTCCGTCTAAGGGATGCGCCCACGCATTCGACTCACACTCAGAATCGTAGTGGCGTATTGAATGCGTATGTGGCCTATACAATGACTTGCGCTGGCAGCCAATGTACAAGTCAGTACTTTTGTTTTCCTAGATGAATCTGGTACCAATCACCCGACCCAGGAAGAATGAAAAGCTTGGTTGGCCTAGGCAGATATCGATACGATGCTTGAATCCGTGACCATGTGTGTGTGTCATAGTGCACCACTTGCCACTACACCACCCACATCCGCCCGTTTGAAGTGAAGTTCAAGAAATAAAGCATGGACCAAGTTGTTATAACTTTTATAGAGCCAGCCTTTCGGCCCTGTCGAAGGCGACTAGGTCGAACCGTTAGCCTAGTAGATGTTATAGCATCTTGGCCGACACTTCAGTGGACTTCTACAGCATAAGAGAATGAAGACATCACAGACTCGGTCTCCAAAAGCATGATGGAACGTAGCAGGTAGGTGACCTAACCAGCTATGCTTGTGAGTGCAAGTGAGTGTTTTCTAGGGAAGACTAACATTTTGGTAGAGGTCGAAGTGGGGTCACTGCGGCTACTCGAACTATCCTTGCTCAATCACGGCTAGAATCTAACAACGAGCCTAAAACATTCTGTCCTTTCTGATCTCATCCAGGTACTGATCAGTTGAGTGCTTTTATCCGTGAAATGTCTAACTTAAATTTTAATTTCAACAGTTTAATTTTGACTTTTTTTTTCCGAATCTTTAGTTTTATTTCTAAATATTGTTATCCTTAAACGAAATGGAACAGTTAGCTAAATCTGGCTTTAATTTCAAATCTGACCCTTTCTAGTGCCTTAGTTCACGCTTTATTCTAGGAGATTTTCCCTATTTTCGTTCTTTCCCCCATTAGATATCTGACATCTATCCTTTGCTTTCAGAATCATAGAAAGGGTTATAATCTGGATGAGTGCGTGTCGGCGGAGCACTGTCGAAGATACGGGAAGAGAATTTCAATAGTGCGCTTCGACGCGTACAGATTATCGTCCGCGCGACGATTCTAAGCCATATGGGCTATTTAGTAATCCATTTATGCCACTTATGCATTTCTAATCCTTAACCTTGAGCACCTCACCTCGGTATCACTCAATCCTATACATCATTCGTTCTTTATCGGACCACGGGCTCAGGACCACCTCGTTCGAATCTGCTTTAATCGCGAAGCAGGCTGTGAATTTCCGGTGATTTCGGAGACCCTGATCATTAGTAGGTTTAATACAAGCGGATCACGACGATCCTATTCGTAGCGAAATCTATAAGGACCATCACTGTTGAACCTCTTCTAATCAGCGAAGGTGACCTGAACAAGGAAAGGGCAGGAAACGTTTTTTGCTTGTTACTGAGCCATTTTTTGAAAGAAAATCCGTTTTCCGCATTACTCAGATGTAGGCTCAATTATGGCTGACGACAGTAGAATGAGAGACGATTCCGGCTTTTTCTCTGTGCCCTGTGCAGAAAGATCGGGAATGACCAGATTGTCTGAGTTAAGCGGTAAGCATCAGGATTCAGAGTTGAGCGAACGCATGTGGGTGAACGACCGATATGATGAGCTATTTTTTGAATAACGTGACCAGTAACGTATGGCACTCATCTGATTGTAAGCTGTTCTGTTCTTCCGAAAGAAGATTGTCGCTATGAACACCATAGCGACAGAATATGCAAGAAGAAGAACATCAAGCACCAAGAGGACAGTGATATCCAAATTCAAACTACCGTGGGCGTCATTCTTTTAGTATCAACCAATAGTTTAGTCAAAATATTTGCCATAAAGATACATTATTACCTACCCAACAGACTACTACATATAATCTACCATCCACGCGGACCAGAATAAAAAAGGTCCTATGGCAAGCAGTCTTTAAGCGAATCCTTGCGAATGGTTCTTGAGAAGCTCTTATACTTTTGGTACCCACAGTACGGCACGTCCATAATCATTTTTCTCAAATACCTGGATTATATGGACCGGTGATCAGCAGCTCAAAAGCGAATTTCAGAAAAATAGACTATCTTTATCATCAGTTCTTTAAACAACAAAAATTACCCATGCGAGGAGCTTAATAAGTGTACAGAAATTCTGCATACAACATTGATCGAAAGTAAAACATCATTGAGAACTCGTGGATTAGGCTATCGCTTCAATCGATAGCCTATCGTTTAAGACCAATCTTCAAATTCAGTATTCTTGACAAAGAATATACCATCTGAAAGACTGTAAAATTCATAAATTTCTACTAACTATACTAGAAATGAGGATCCGGTGCCTACAGGTGCATAGCAGCTTTTCATAGAGGGAGGGACCAGACAAAGAACAACATGATGCAACAAAAATGTAATAGGAAATTCGGAAATTCGGAAAAGATGCCGTCAACGTGGCGCCTAAGGCATCTGTTACCGACAATACTATGGTAGTTGAGTGGAGTACCGTATTTTCTGGAACCCTTACGACGACAGACACAATACTCAGTCAAACCCTGGTCCAGTGCCGTCGCAGAAAAAGCTTCATGATGAATGCAATGGTTGTTGTCACTTGATGACAACGGGGCGACTAGACGGTGATCATGAGAATGTAGCCAACCATGGCCAGGTACGGCTTCAGAAGCGGTCCAATGTATGGTGTCCACAAAATGTACTCCACAATATACCAGTACGCTTTGAATTGTAAACGTCCCCAGGAAGGGAAATTTCGTCGCACTTCAATCTGTCCAGCTTCCATTCGATCGCGTGCTTGTTGAACCTAAAATTAGTTTTTTTTAGTTCGAAATCTTGTCTAACACTGCAAATACTTTCCATCAAGATATCGACGGTGTATATACATACATATATTGAAAAGGACTTTCAGAAATCATTTCTGTTTACAAATTTTACTCTACCTCTTGAGTAATCACCCCACGTTGAAACCCCATGGCCCTTACCTCGCACCATCCTAGTACCGCTTATTTGGCTCGTTGTAAAGCTCGAATAGGAAAACCTTCGCCAAATATGAGGATATCAAATCCCAGGCAGCCATGTTTTTCCGAAAAAAAACCCGGAAGTCTATGAGGGAGGAGCTTGAACATTACCACAAGGGTAACAAAAGATTGTTGGACAAAATGGAGTATGCATCAGCAATCAAATTCGTTCAATGAATTTTTTTTGGAAACTATCAGAAATCGCGATTACTTTCCGAATAGCATAATATAAGTAAGTTCGAATAAAAAACCATGCTTTTTCACATTTACCGAACAAGAATACAAGTATTAAAAAAGATTCTGGTTCAGTCACCGCCTATTCATGCTTCTTCAAAAGAAAACATGACGAAAAACGCGCTGCTTCACAGTGTAAAAAATACTGAAAGCTGCTTCAAGATCACTATGTAAATGCAAAAACGTCTTCCCATGCCGGGAATCGAACCCGGGCCGCGTGGGTGAAAACCACGAATCCTAACCACTAGACCACATGGGACACACCACTCACCTGTGTGGGGCGCTCTTTTGTTGCCGCGCCCCTTCAAGCAAGAATCGAGAGCAACGTTGTTACAAACCTTTTCGTGATCGCAGGTCCCGTTCTTGTCCACGAAATGAAATCCAAACTTTCCCAGCTGCATCAATTTCGATCCTCCATCTGAAACAATAGTACATTTGGTCCAAACTCAAACTCAAATTCAAGTTTTTGCTGTTGCCTCTATATATTATATACCGATACACAGATATTTGATTCGAATGGTTTTCTAAAGCCCATTCCGTCCCTGAGGGAATAATATTCGATATGAGGAACTTAAAGCTATACATATAACCTCCATTTTTTCAGCACCTGCTCCCCAACAAAAAGCTAGTGTATGGCTATTTTTGAGAACAAAGTTTTCTGAAAAACTCTGGGCAACAAGGAATTTGGAAAGAAGCCAGGATGTAATACATGCATTTGTTAATTCGTATCGACTTGACCGCAAGAAAGCTTGAAGATACAAATCATCAATCAAAGGCCTATACTGGAAGAATACACATATTGAAATGTTACAGAACTTCCTAGTTAATAACTCACAATTGATTGAATTGTTGAAAATCCTTATTTTAAAACCGAAGAACAAGCCTTCCGGAGCCGTCAAGGACAAACTTGAAATTGAGTGAATAAAGAAATAACTTCAATAGCGGAAGTTCAAAAAGTTTTCACTGAATGATGATCAGGGCGTTTCTGCCCTGGCTGCGAACTTTTAATTAGTCGATTACTCCGAACATGAAATGTCCTCTTCCATGTGTATATTGGAAAGAAGATATATACAAGGGCTACCCATCAAATTTGGGCTATAACAAATAGCATTGCGAATCAAACCTCTTTCAATCGAAAAAAAAGAAACAGAAAGGGTGAGTTATCACCCTTCTGTTTACTTTTTGTTCAGAAAGGGTCAGTTTGACAGACTCATGAACTTCAATCAACTATCAACTGACCTGTTTCGCAGTCCAATTGCATGATGTATGGAGGGTTTTTCTGAGCTGTATACATCCATTCCCATGAATGAGCCAATCTGTAAGAATGATTGATCAAACGTAGGCAAAACCCAAGGGGATGGCAACACGAAGACAAATTTCGAGTAAAAAAAACTTAATTGACAAGGGAAGGGGTTATGAAAATGAAATTGGAGAACTAAATGTTGATGATCATTCAGGATTGGACTGATACAAATACGCGCTCATCCAAATCGTTTAGGAACAATCTATCGACCTAAACAATTTCATCCTTCAAGACCGATGAGAGTTGTATAACGATGTACTCAACAGCATACTATTTGTTAAGCAATGCGAGAATTTTCCTTATGAGGCTCAGATTTGACTCAGACCTGAACAGGTTCACTTTACAGATTTGGTCCTGCCCGAAATAATGCAGAATACATATGTATGTGGTGATGGCATTCAATTCTGTTTCACTGAGTTCGATTCATAATGCAGGTTTACTCCCAATCTTATATACGCCTTTTTCTCCCAAACTGTTGACTTTCACTTATACTGTTCACTCCCAGTTCCTGCGAGACTACCATAGAAATGTTGTCTCTAACTTCGTTTCAAGTAAAGGCCACACTTGTATGGCATAAAGGGTTGCGATGGTGGTCCGCAAACCTTTTTTGTCACATCATGAACAAAAGCTCTGTTTGGCATTCTTACAAGGATTTTGTAAGTATAGAGTGCTTAGATTCTCGCCTGCCCATGCCCACCAATCACGCAATTAAAGAATCAGCATCGACGAGACATACAACAAGTTCTGAAGGTTTTCCACTACAAAATCTGAAAACCAGGATAAGTTGAACCCGTTCTCGCTTTTTTCGCGAGGCACTCCCTCATTCGAAGGGACCATGTAAAACTCAGGATTAATAGGCTCGGGCTAACAGTTAGACCTATCTAATTGGCATTCGATGGTAATCGCAACGATCCCAACGAGTTGGCTCTAGCAGCGATCGCATACCACATAATATGAACGCTCGACGTCCGTGTTAAATTCGAAAAGCGGTCTATAGGAGTTGGTTTTCGGCTATCATTCTTTCCCCGGTTTCAGAATCATTTCATTTCATTTATTGACGCAGACAAAGTCCACGTGAGCTACAATCTCCAACAAGTGAAGCATCCAGTAACACAACTCTCGCAAATGTCATAACAGAAATAACTATAACAACTGGAAAGTAGGAAAAAAATAGCAAACGTGATGAGGCATTACGTGGCTAAAAGAAAAGAGAGAACAGCCAAAATTATGACATTGATAGAGATTAGCTTGAAAGCGTGCAGGAATCCTCTCTAAGCATTTTTTCGGCCAAATTCTTAAGTGAGCGCAGAGAAATGTGCAAGTTGCCTACCTGGAGGATTTTGTTGAGAAAGGATATAACTAAATCATATTTTGCATCAACTATTATTGATTCAACCTACTTGTGAACTCCGACTTGAGCACTACCACTTTTGAAAGTGGCTGGCAAAGGATATTTGAGATCTCTTCGCTATCTTTTCCTATATCTACCAACCAAAATTAATATGATATTAAAAGTATACCGTTACGAGAGTACGAATCTCTAGGTGTTGCTTAGAGTCTAGAATTTGATAAATAATGAAATTCCTCACTCGTATGGGAAATATGCACATTTCGGTCGTCCCCATGTATGGCATTGATGTATCATCACTCCCATATCTGGTGTATACCAGTGTGCCAGCTTATCCGCCAGTCTCTCGAAAAACTTGATTGTGTCATTGTTAGCACGTACGAAGAAATTCGCTCCTAAAATACGAACATATTCGAAAAAAGGTCCAGCCAGCATAGTGGATGAGTCGAATAAGTTTCTCGAGAAAAAAAAATCACAGTAAGCATCCATTCACCACCCTAGAAAGGTATTTATATTTCTGTTTCGCAAGGCAATAAATTACCAAAGATTTTTGATTGCTTTTTTCAACCTCTCTATCACATTAAGCATTTGATTCATGGTTTATCGGTACGCATTGAAATCATAATGCTACTGACGTGATTTTACATCGGCAGAGCGCAAGGGCTACTTAGGCCAAACCAATCTATTTTTTTCTCCAGAAACACTTAACCATTGGCGCCGATATTTGTGTTGGACATGTTGCCGCTGTACTGAATATGTGGGGATCAACATTGGCTAATTTTTTTCGTAGTAAAAAACTTGGTGGCAGGAGCAGATGGCTATTTCTGATTCCCTCTCATGCGCTTTTCATTGTTTACTTAACATCAGATGAACATCAGTTTTACAGCCAGATCTCATTCTCACCACTATCCGTGGCATGGTGAGGATGAGGCTTGATTGCAAAACTGCTGAGGTTCACGGATGCAAGGATGACACGTCACAGTGGTGCAAGAAGCCTAACCCTCTCAAGAAACTCCACATCTTAACAGATTCCCAGCTGAGTGAGTCTCAAACCTCAACTCAAAACATTTCGACCAAGAAAAGAGCGGAGAGCAGTAGAAGAGTCTGAAAACGGATAAAATTTCGAAACTCTTTGAAACATTCCCTTCGTTTTTGGGCTCTTCTACTGTGCTCCGCCCTAATTACAGGCTAAGCAATTCAGATTTGAGGTGAAATCAGGCCTTGAACAGTTCCATGTGTTCCAACTAAAAACTTATTCGCTACTGATTTCGTTCTATGGCATGAAATTAAACCATTCATTTTTCTCCTGAAGCTCAACTTTAGTAAGCAAGAAATCAAAAGAGAAAAATAAGAAAATGAGGGAACAACCCTAATGAAATTTGCACTTGAGTACTGACTCTTTTCTTACAATTTCTCCATTTTTTAAAGGGGCCATACAGGAAAATTGCCCCTCTTTCTTGTGTGGGAGACAGAGGGACAGGACACTTGGGAATGAAGGGCTCTGATTTCTGCCTCTCCCCGCTGCACCTAACAGTGGTGTATGATAGCCTTGACACGCTATAGTGACGGCGGGTATCAGGTAAAAGTGGTGAGAGAAAGAGCGCAAGTGTCCCATAGAGGGCGCGCGCTACCCATCCGAATCAGGACAAACGAGGGCGCACTGATCGAGTAGACGATCCAGGCAGTTGCACAACTACTTCTTTTACAACATTGATGCCTAGACAAAGTTTTTAGTCAAGCAATTTTGAAAATGAAATCGAAGCTTTGAGAGTTAATTATAAATAGTAATTACCGTTCACCCAATTAGTTCTCATACTCTTCTCGTTCACACCCAACTGATCGAATATCGCGTCATACGACATGTCGTCCTCGAAACCGACTTCAAATAGATTCTTCCGCCAAAAAGTGTCCTGTTGCATCATCCAGAACGATTTCCCTCTGAAATACGAATACGTCATCGAAAACAAATTAATCTTATGGGTGTGCCTCCCACTCAGAAACTGACGAAATGGGAGACACCTCAAATTGAACAGAAGGTTGAGGATCTGCAAAAACTGATCTGTTCCCTGGTTACAGATCGGTTCAAAGAAATATAAACTCGTCATTGATGCACCCCTACCAGCTTGAAGCGAATATAGAACTTATTGGCTCCCACAAAACAAGCGCGATATGTCATGTACAACTGTAGATTGCGCAATGTTCAAGGGCCCACTGTTAATGCCGTGAAATTATTGAAACTATCGAAAGAGACCCTCCTCACATCGGCTTTTCAATCCATCCCACTTTCCTATCTCGCTTCTTAGGACACTTCAACTGTACATTTAGGGTAACTCATAGCATGGGGACTTCTACCATGAGAATTTTGATTTAATTATATGAAATTATCTTCTCCCTAAAAACCCTCGTCTAGAAACATGTTCTACGCCTTGTTGCTCAAGAGTAGGCGTTTATTTTGGGGTGGCTGTATCAGCCTCGCATATAAACTCGCTACTCGACTGAATTCTTGAATTTGAATTGTAGCTTGAATCGGTTCAAATTCAAGCCACAATACAATAACTGATGATGCGAGTCTTCAGAGAGGAAAGCTGGGGAATTACCAAATAGGAATTCAGAAAGAAGGAAATGAGAGGTGTTGTGTATTTGAAATACATATGATGACTAGTAGTAAACGTGTAAATTGAAAANAAAATTTCAAACAATCAGAGCGGAGGTCGCCTTTCCAGAAAATAAGAAATTATTCCCATCCACATCAAGGCTAGGGCATGAAAATTTGTAAAAAAAAAGAAACTTCAAAGTAATAAACACTGAAGTATATGAGAGTATACGAGAAAGAAAACAAAAATTGAAGCATGAACACCCACTTCTTCAGAAGGCTCACTGCCAGATTCGCACGCAGCAAGTAGATCGTCTGATAGGGCCCTTCAGCGAAACTGAACGGCTTCTGAAATAACATGAAGTAGGGAGAAATCACACGTTCTCTGTATAAAAGTTAAATCACGGTCTTGAGTGTTAACCATTGCTTCTGAAGAAACAAGTACAAATGTACAATTTAGAATTTATTTTAAAAAACCGGCATAATGTCTAGAGAGTGCTTTTCAAGCGCTTTTATTGTTCCACTATCACCCGCACTGTATCTCTCCCCTAAATTTTACCATCCAGCTGAGGGTTTTTGTAAAAAATATTTGTAGTTGTCCCATTAAACTCGTGTTCAATCTTTCGCTGTCAACAACGTAATCAACGGATTTATTTGAAGTTCCATCGAAGCGCTACGACTGATCCCCAATATAAAAGACCCAAATCCTCGTGTAACCTTCAAACTCTCATTGCGTGATCGCAGACATAATCGGTCGCTTGCCACACCGTCATTGCACGGTCACCGACTTTCAATAAAAGGTTCAACTGGATTAGGAAAATGAGGACAAGGAAGACGGCAAGAAAGGGAAGTGAGATGGGAGCTGCCCGTAAAAAACATCTCGGATGTTGCTGTCACCACAAGCCGATGGAGACTTTATCATTCTTTTTATTCCATCCTTTCTTCTTCCATTCGACAGTATTTATCATCTTTACACAAACCCATCCTTTTTTCATCCTAAAAATCCGATAAAGCACTTGGAAAACAGGAGTTCAGAAAAAAAATCCCTTCGATTGAAAGGGTCACATTCAAATTACTGGTTTAAAACCTATCAACTCTATTACTGAGTAACTTTTTGATCAGCTCTTTTTACAACCCGAGGTTTTAGAGATGAAGGATCTTCGTTCATTCCAGGTACACCGTACACTACATCGCCTACAGGACCAGTTTTGAGACACACTTAAAGAATTAATCAGGAAATTGTAAAAAAAAAAAGTACGTGAGACCACTATGCAAGTCATAAACCGAGCCGTCCCTAGGTAGGCAAAAGTCGCGCTGTAGAACACTGTTACTGCGTACATAACCTTGGATTGCCTTTCACTATCGTGCTCACCGCTAGTCGGCCGGCATCGGCTATTACGCCCAGTAATGAAGTTATACATCGAAAAAGTAATATATACTACGAAGCGGTCCAAAAACTGCTGACAGAACAGTTATTAAAACTAACGGCACTAATCAAAAGTCATGGTAACCAAAAAAGTTGGCGGCCCTGCGGTCACTTTTCTGAATTGGCCGAGATCCTCGTTGAGGATAGGGCTGCCAGGCACGAATAAATTTTCAATTCCACCCAAAGCCAGTTCTCACACCCAGAACTTGGTTCACCCGTGATGGGAAACGAATTTTTAAAGCCAAAACACTTTCAATTCCATTCCGAGAATGTCGTCCTTTTTTTCGAACACCCATCAAGAACGTCAAAGAAAAAGGTCGTAAAAAAGAATATGAAAAATGAGAGAAACCCACATAAAGACTCGGTGTTGGCCAGTGGAACTGTCGAATGGTCGGCCACATCTTTCTAAGTTCATCTCGAGCCACTGTGTCCAGTGTGACGAATATCAATCGTTCGTGTACACCTGGTAGACTAGCAGTATTGCAAAGGAAGTTGTAAGTCATGTTGAGAGCATATTGGTTCAGCAGCAGGAATGCTGGCGGTCGAGTGAATTCTTCGTCGAGCATGTGAATTAAATCATCGAATTCGCGTGAATTTTCAATAATTTCCTGTGCTACCGTATGACCGTGTCGCTTCACGTACCGTACTGCAGCGATAGCATTTTGGGTTTTCCGCAACACCAAAATGCCAAAGAGAAACCAAAACGCGTAAAACAGTATGACGGGCACTCGATACAGCATCTTTTCCGTTCGGGATACACTGCACTTCCGTGACTTCTTCTTCGCGTCATCTGGAATGGAAGGTGACGGCGACGCACTGTCTCTGACGGCGTCGGCGACATGACGACGTCGCATCTCGGTGCCCATTGGCCTATGGAGAGAAGTACTGTGGGACGGGCGACTAGATTGGGCGGAGTCACTGCAACTGCACGGACTGATACGATGTAACGATGGTGACAGTGACGGTGACCTGAAAGCACTGAACCGAGTAAAATATGCCAAAGGGCAGGATAAACATTCACAGTTCAGCATAACAATGCACGAAAACCACGCGAAAACAGGACCTCAGATCGTTCGTCGAAAAGAGCATGGAACGGAGTCACTTAAGCGGACATGATCTGAGTATCAAAAGAAACAACGAAATTCCCTTAGCGAGCTACCTACGATTCATAGCAGTTCAGCAAGTACCAGATTCGATTAGGAAGACAGGCAGAAATGGTTTAATTTCCCAAGTTTTAGGATGTCGCACCCACGTCATCCCAATGCCGTTGTTATAGAGCACCAACACAAACTATCTTGCTACTTATCAGATTTGGAAGGTACACGGCACTTGGCCTTAGGATCCTGCGGGGTGCCTTCCGCTTGCGCCAGATCCTTTAGCATCACGTTGATCTTCGTAAGTAGAGAACGAGAAGGCCGTTGCAAAAGCAGCTGAGGATGCTAAGAAGAAGAAATGGTCCTATAGAAGGTTGTTGATCTGCTATCGAAGAAGAAGTTGCTTCATTTGGAGATATGTACCTATCTCTATAGGGAGGATTACATACTTTTTCCTGGCTTAGTAGTGTTAATAAAACTCGAAGCTCTAGGGTAAAGTCTGTTTGTTTAAAAAATGCGGAACTGCCTGTCCCCCTGACCCCCACAAGTCTTTCTGAAGCCCATCTACGCGTTTGAAGGTCATTATTTCGGCGAAATCAGAAAATTTCTGCTCAAGCAATGATAGACGGTCAGGTTGTCAGTCAGTCTTAACTCCCTACTCATCCGCAGAGGTGAAGGACAGAAACATTCGTCAAACAATCATATTGGAAGTTGCATATCACGCTATACGGTCTGAAAATGTTTTTTAGTCAGAACGTTTAGACAGAACTCTTAAAAATTACTTCAGATACGGATTGTTGATCAACCTCAGAGAGCCCAGACAGTTTTAAAATTATTGCAGCCTTTTGGAAAGTAGTACATAATTCATAAACTCGCTCGGGGCGGCATGAGATCATGCTCATAATCATCGAGCATGGCGCACAAATCTAGTGGACATGTTAGAATATCTTAGCTAGGGCAAAGTGGTATTATAAAAGCCTCCTACCGTATACTTATTAGGTTTAGAGGAGTAGATTCTCTTCGTTGAACAATGATCAGGTACGTTCATAGAACAATGATCACGGGATTATTTGGGGAACGCAGCGATCTCTCATAGTCTGGACAGTTAGAGGCAAAAACGATTGCATGACAATTCCAGTAGTTTAATGCCACGATAGCATCATTTTAGTGAAGAAATATTACAATGCAATGTTGCCAAGTCGATGGAGGGTATAAAACAGGAGCAAGAGAGCAAAGTCGAGAGATACACGAGTTAAAAATACAATGAGAACCATTTTTTATCTAATTAACCATAATTCATTTCGATAAGTCCTTCATAATAGTGTCTACACATCTGCGCGCAGCATAAACGCGGAAGTATGAACCCACTCACCTTTTCGCTTTTTGTAACTCTTCACACCCTACTTACCCCAAAAGGTTTTTTTCTGCATATTACATAGCCTTCTTGGGCATACAAGGTATTTGACTGCCGAAAGTTTAATGATGTAAGCTTGGTTGGCCTGGTTTAGAAACAGATAGCACCCGAATCTTAGGTTCCCTTCAATCTCGACCGGAAGAAAGGTTGCCATATTCTCCTACGCAACAAAAGGATGACCCCCAGCTCCGAAAGAACCTAAGAAAACCTGCTATAAAATACCCAGACTCTTTTCTTCATGATTTACCAGAGGATGAAAACCATCTACCCAACTAGGTTGAAATAGGTTCAGGAATCAGAAGGTACCGAGTACTTCAAACAATCATGGAAAAACCCTGTCTTTTTTGAGATCCGTAAAGACTCTGGCAGTTTCGTCACGATCAAATTTTGATTTTCTCAGTCTCAAAGGGCGTAGGCCGAAAAACGTCGCAAACATCATTTCAAAATGTTCACCGACCTTGCTTCCAAATTCAGAACTAGTTCCAGCAAAACAGTAAGTACCAAAACACTTGAATGTAGTTTCGTTCAAATTGGGATGGGAACAATGTTCCAATGAAAAAAGTGAACCGGTTATGTAATGTAGTAAAATCATCTCCGACAACAAATGCAAGAAAAAACGGATAGCTGGATACTGGTTTGAAGTTAACTACGATTCTCACTTGCCAGCAGAATTTGATTCCCATTCAAAATCAATCGTAACGTGAAAAATAGATACAAACTCATGAAAAGCCTCTTATTGTAAGCAGAGGTAGGCTAGGTTGAGTATGTGACAGATCTCAGACACGGCAAACATCATGACAGGGCAGTCGCGACAATCTCGCTTACAAACCAAGCACAACTCTGAGTAAATGAGCGTTCTACGAAATTCCGTCATTACCAGAGCTTTTCAACCCAAAACTCACGAAGGGTACACTGCAGGAATATCAAGCTCGACGTCACCTTTAGAATATAGCAGCTGTGAATCAAATGGTCCGCCACTAAATGATGGTTGGCGGTACTTCTCCCCGAAATCCTACCGCGGGCGGCAGTTCCGCGCGACCACCGTGTCTTTCCTTTGGAAGTTCAAACATTTCCTCCCATAGCGCGCGAATGGGTGCGACTAGCGCGACGCGACTTTCGAGGAGAAGGTATCACACCCTTAGTTGGTTACATATGATTAGCCCTTCGTCCAACATTAGCAGTCAAAACTCTAATCACAAGGGCTGATTATGGGGTTGTCTAATACTGGATCTGTTGTGACTCCAGATCCCATCTTAGGAATTTTACGTTGCTGGACCCATTTGTGGAATCGGTCTAATTCTAGACTTTCCATCAATGTGGGACGAATACCAAGCAGAATACAGCCAGAATGAAGGTAGGAGCACGACTTCAACTGAACTGCATGAAGAGTGAGCCCTTAGCTCTTGATACTTGGGAGTGGGGCCTGATGAGAAATCTTAAGAGACGGGAAGTCTGCTTTTTTATTTACAAATCCAAAACGATGCACGTGCCAACATCTTTGTTAACCATGCTCACATCTATCTAGAGGATTGTAAAGGATATTAGTGCACCATAACAGATTCTTTTGATTATTTACGATCAGGCCAGTATTTAAAGTAGGACAGTATATACTCCAAAGAAATATGACAAAAAAAAATAACAACTCAAAAGAAATATGTGATCGATTCAAACCGGAAAAGCTCTACAGAATGAGAACGTGATAAGCGGTGTTTTCAGTTACCGTTGTCAACTTGTGGAAAAAAAAATAAAAATAGCAAAGCTGTGGTGTTCATCCTNTAAAAATAGCAAAGCTGTGGTGTTCATCCTTCAGGGCAGAGGGGAAATGCACTGTCCTCGTATGATTCTAGTGATAAAGGAAAGCGAGGTGGAATGAGCTATGGAGGCAATTGAATGTAGAAACCGGCGATCTAACGAAAAGAAGTTGTGGAGGAGAGAAAAATTAAAACAAAAGGTGGCGAGAAAAAAAAAAGAAAATCATGAAGACATCAATTTTCAGGTCATAAACTGTCAAAATCCATCTAGATTAAATAAAAGTAACTACCACTAACCAGTAAGACGAAGGTTAGGACTTACGACCTTACAGATCATAGCACGTGTTCGAATGAATGATTAAAAAATTGAGACTCCAGAAAGGGACACATACACTTGACGTTGTGTAAAATGATCGAGAAAGGCCTCGGTCCGATCTCTCCGACCAAAAGTACAACTCGCTGTGGTGGTATATTTCGCGTGTTGCGGGTTCCTCAAGGTCAGTGTCCCACGAACGCCGCCACAACCATAGTACCCGCCCTGGCAACGGAACTCTCGTCAGATTCTTAACGACTTAATTTGATTCTTCAGTAGAAAGTGATAATCGAAAAAGTGATCTCAGCCAAAGCTTTGTTCAAGAGTCTTCAATCCGAACCGTATTTTTTGATTACCTCGGTTACAAATCAAGTAAAATGGCATACGAAAGAAGATTGTGAATGGTAAGCCTTCTATATCACATTATGTATTGGATTAGCCGAAGATAAAGCAACGAATGCCACTACAATTCTAAATAGAAGTCGAATGTGGAAACATACTGCAACGTCTACAACCGCCAATTTATTTCTACTTTGTTGGTTTCGGACCTGTATGAGTTTTTTACAGGCTGATGTTGTCAAACTAGATTATGGAAGATATTCTGAAAGCTGAATTTCAGAGTACACCTAGAATGCGCAACATGAATGCCACATCACTTCGGCTTCTTTGAATTCTCCCACTTGGGCGCAGTAACGAAATTTGGCTTTTGACATTTCTCAATGGTTTGCAGAGTTGCAGCATAAGCTTGACCTGAATATGTATTCGCCTTGACAACCAATGTAATCACTGCACAACTTTGCAAGAAAAAATTGTGCTTTTTCGAGCAAATGATATTTTACACATCTAGTGGTCGAAAAAAGACGTTATGAATGGCAAAGACTAAAGGATAAGCGACTTCAGTGCCTTGAAAGGGTTATGAACGGCGAGACTGAATTCTAGTAATGCAATTCCCGAGTTCGGTAAAGGTACATAGTTCTTCAGAGAAAACAAAATTAATTCTGCTCTACTGGCGTGAAAAACAGTGAACATAGAGGACTTCGGCTTTAAAAAAGGTAACAAGTAAGAAAAGATTTTACGATGGAAATAAGGCCCGAAGGACAACGCCCTCTAGCGCTAATCAATCCGATATTCGACCCCGAACCGTGCATGCTGGTTAGTGCGTCGCTTCCCAACGCAAAAATAACTTTCTAAAATTTTTATTTATAATTTACCACTACTTATTCACGGCTCATATGTGAAATAGCAGGATGACACCATAGTTGTCAGAGAAACTCGTGCAAGGAGCAAAAACTGTGTGAAATTTGGCGTTCAGGAATGTTGATTTTGGCAGCTCTTAGCCGAGAATTCCGACTTCACCACCGAAAGAGGGAGCGAAGGTAGGCTCAGGTTATTCCGATTTTAATCCTATTGAAGTTTCCATGAGCTAGCCTTTCGCATGGCTACTTATGTAGTAATCAACTCCTCAGTGAAGCAGATTATCATCAAGATCATGGACAAAGTCGACGTAGGTTGACCCGAATACTTTCAAAAAACATTTGACGCTGCCGTCATTTATAACAACA